GGGTGGATGGGGTGGGGGGTAGGTTGGAGGTGGGGGAGAAGGAATGGGGGTGGGGGGAGGGGGAGGGAGAGGGAAAGTACATGTGAAAATATTAATAATTTAATAAAAAAATGCAAAAAATAGACTTATAATCATTTTAAATGAAGATGTTTAGATGCCAGTGTAAGAACACAACAACAACCAGGGCAATTTGTCACCACTAGGACACAGATATTCTACTATAGCAAGCCACGGTTATTCCAACATAGCTGAAGCACAAGTAACAGACCCTAAAACCATCTTTTTGAAGACAACAGAGGGTCTTAAAGAAGAAATGAATGAATCCCTTAAAGAAATCAAGGAAGGAGGTAAGCGTGGGCCTCTTTCAGGCCCACCATCAAAGGCCCTGCTCAGAGCCTTCTGAGACCAAGGGATTAGGGGAACCTTTCCCAGCAGACCAGGCTATCCAGAGTCTGCCAGCTTCCTAGTCCCTCCTCCAATCACAGGAGGACATAAGTGTGGGCCTCTTTCTGGCCCACCTTCCAATGTCCTGCTCAACCTCCTGAGGCTTGTGGCCTGCACACGAGGAACCCATCCCAGCAGAACAGAACATTCAGAGTCTGCCAACATCCCAGTACTAGTACCACCACCACCCACAGGAAGAGAAGAGCCATTGGAAATTGGACTCGCTTGCACCCACCAGAAGAGAACCTTGGTTCTGTATGCACCAGGAGAGGAAGAGAATACACTTGCAACCACTGGAGGAAGGGATGGGAAGAAGACAATATAAAAACACATTCAACAACAGAAAAAACAATATGACACCATCAGAGTCTAAGGACTCAACCCCAACAAGACCTAAACATCCGAACACAGATGAAGCAGAAGAGAATGACCTTAAAAACAATTTCATGACAATGATAGAGGCACTCATAGAGGATATGAGAAAAATACTTTAAAGAAATGGAAGAAAAAAATAAATACAAGAAATCAGAGTTGGGATACACCTCACCCCTGACCTCAGGTGAGTCTGAGAGCTGCTCTGCTCCCCAACCTCCCCAATCAACCCCTTCTGGATTCTGCCTGAGCCTGCCCGGACAAGAGTGGACCTGCCCAGATGTGGAAGGCCCACCCTGAGTCTGGACACACCTCACCCTTGTCCACCCACCGCCCTCTGCCATCTGGCTGCCGCCAGAGGCTGAGCCCTACACCTGCCACCAGAGAGAGGGAGACCACACCTGCACCCACTGGGAGAAGAGATGGGAAGAAGACAGAGTAAGAGCACACTCAACAACAGAAAAACCAATATGACACCACCAGAATATAAGGACTCCACACCAGCAAGATCTGAAAGGCCCAACACAGAGGATGAAGAAGAGATGGACCTCAAAAATTATCTTAGGAAGATGATAGAGACCTTACAAGAGGAAACAAGAAAACACATTAAAGAAATAGAAGAAAAAACAAGCAAAAAATTACATTAAATGGAGGAAAAGACAAACCAAAAAATTCAAGAAATAAATCTCTTAAAGAATCTAAAGAAAGCCAAGAAAAAACAACCCAACAAGTGAAGGAAACATTCAAGGCATGAAAGCTGAAATAGACACAGTAAAGAAAACACAGAATGAGGGGATGCTGGAAATAGAAAGGCTGGATAAACGATCAGGACCTAAAGATATGAGTATAACCAATAGAATTCAAGAGATGCAAGAGAGAATCTCAGTTGTTGAAGACTCACTAGAGGATATAAAGTCATCGACCAAGGAAAATCTGAAGTCCAACAAATCCCTAACACAAAATATCCAGGAAATATGGGACAATGTGAAAAGGCTGAATCTAAGAATAATAGGTATAGAAGAAGGTGAAGAAATATAGCTCAAAGGAACAGAAAACATATTCAACAAAATCATAGAAGACAACTTCCCCAAATGCCTATGAAAGTACAAGAAGATTACAGAACACCAAACAGACTGGGTCATAAAAAGAAGTCCCCTCGACACATAATAAAACAGAATAAAGAGAAAATATTAAGAGCAGCAAAGGAAAAAGGCCAAGTAACATATGAAGGCAGACCTATCAGAATCACACGTAGCTTCTCAATGGAAACTTTGAAAGCCAGAAGGTCCTGGATAGATATCCTACAAACACTAAGGGAGCACGGATGCCAACCCGGACTACTGTACCCAGCAAAACTT